AATTTTTCTTGAATTAAAAGCATCTCAGCTTTTTCTTCCATATTAACAAAGGATAAAAGCCTTTTTTGAACCTGTTTTTTAAATCCAAAAGGCATATTATGCAAAACTCCCCATGGTCTAATTACATCAGATCCTAAATTTAATATAACGTTAAAAATATTTGTGTATTAAAATATTTTATCAATAAGAATACAGTATATTAAACCACCTACCAAACAAAAATATATAAAAGCTTACGAGCACACCATAAAGACCGGCTATACTTCCCAGCATAGCTAAAATCTATTCTTTTGAATTAGTAATTATGTACTATATTACGTATTCAATTCAAGTTAAACCAAATAATATTACTTACAGTATTACCCCTGTTATTATGAATCATATATTAACAAAAATGATAAAGAACATATTAGCAAATCAACTTTAACACAAATTACCTTTGCTCTTTTTGCACTTCAATAACAAAATTTTCTGGTTGAATTGATAAGTCTATAAAAGTATTATTTTGAAGAGAGGTTGCAGAATCTATGTAAAAGGAGAACTAATTAGCATTTAACAATAAGAATAAAAACAACTAAATGATGAAAATTTTTACATATATTTGTTTCGATATAAGGTACATCATCATAATAACTCGTCTTGAAACCAAAAACACTTAAAACTGAAGGAATCATTATTTTTCTAATTTTTCTGGAATATCTCATAACATAGCTCTATCGATTTACAGTATAAATAAAAATATGAAACTATAAAACTTTTTTAAAATAATTAATATACATACGCTGCGTTTGTTCAATTGGTACTTATTCATTTGTGCTGTTGACTTAACAAATGTGGATTGTGCCAGGTCTGAAGGATAATCACCATTAATATCTTTATTGATATACACTAATATATTATTTATTTCTTGTTAAACAAATTATTTTGTCAAAGTAGAAACTAGAGCAAAGTTTTAAAAATTTACCTGTATCAAATGCATTAATAAATAGTCCGAAAACATCAGTGGTATCGTTATATGTAGGATCTGTGATGTATACTGCAAGATCAACTCGAATATTGCCATTATATTTTTGAACAAAAGATTTTGGTGGCGCCAAAGATCTTAGAAAATTAGAGGTGCTATTTCCATTTACTAGTTCTGTAATATATTGTTGGCAGCTTTCAATTGCTTTAAAAATTTGAGTTATAAATATATGCTTATATATGCATTAAACTCAATTAGGAGTTAAAACATCCTTACCTCCACCATATGCACCATTGGAAAAAATACAAGATATATTAAAAGAAAATCTTGGTACAAAAAAATGAACGGCTATTTGATTATGGTTTTAAGATATCAGAAATATATTATTAATATTAATATAGTACATATAGTATAAGCGAATTCGATGCAATCCTTACTGGGCACAATTAATTGATCGTTGTCTGAAGTGAAAGTGCTCTTAATACTAGGCAATTCTTCACTCAAACTTATACTCAATAAAACGGTGAATGCCAGTATCAAAATCAATAAGAATATAATGACTAAGCGCCGAATCCATAAAATTAATTTTGATTCAATTTTATGCGGTTTTCTGAATAAGTGAAATAACATATCTCTTTTTTTGAGAAATGGAATTTATCGTATAAAACCTTTTATAAAAAAAACTGTTGTCGTACGCTATCATGACTATATACTTTTATATATAGTATATAATAGACTATTTTAGTCAAGACACAGGTGCACTTAAACTCTCTATAATTTTAGTATCAAAAAAAAAAATGCTGTAATCTAAATAGAATGGCTGGTGTTACGATATAGGAAGACGCTAAAAGAAAAATA